AAAGTTTACAACTCTAGTATGAAAAGACATTATAGATAATATGTAAATTGTTGGATCTACATTTTTACAACTCTAGTATGAAAAGACTTAATAGATAATATGTAAATTGTCGGATCAAAAAGTTTACAACTCTACTATGAAAAGACATAATAGATAATATGTAAATTGTTGGATCTAAAATTTTACAACTCTAGTATGGAAAGACATAATAGATAATATGTACATTGAGGGATCAAAAAGTTCACGACTGTAGTGCATTACTGCTACTGTGTAAAATTATGATTTAGTTGATTGGAAAAAAGCAAAAGCTTAAGATACAAAAATTGTGTTTTTAAGTCATAATAATAAATTATTTTCAATAGTCTTGCTGTTATCCAATGTATTCTTGTAATGTTTCAATTCTTTCAAGCATATATAGGTCAGACAAAAATTTACATTTCTTTGAAATATATGGAACTAAACGTACTTAACATGGTTTTTATCTTACTATGCGGGAATGTGTGCCATGCATCATCTAACGTTCACTTAACACAATAATAATACCCCTGCACTCCATCCTTTATACAAAAGCGCTGCACTCGCTTTATTTCATACATACTGAAGGGGTAGTTCTTGTAAATTTCATGAGTGGGACAAGAGGTACCTTTTCGGCCTTTCTGTATTGCTAAACCTTACTCTCCAAAAACTCTTGAGAGCCCGGGGCTAAATACGTGGCCATTATGACCCTTCTCAGCTAACTTCTAACAGCTTGATGGATTTCGCAATAAGAAAGGAAAGAAAACGATTTCTCTACTGATTCGTGTTTTATGACAGTACAACCAACTTCATGAAATAATGTATTATATTAATAATAATAATTATATTAACTGTAAGATTTGTCATTTTTCAAGATCTTTTCCTTAGATTAATACAATTCCAATAAGTCTAATGATATTTATCAATTTAAAAATATATCTTTAAAAACGATTACCTGACCTGAGTAGTTATATTCATTTGAAGTGTTTAATAAAAACGAAATGAAGAGTTTCTCTCAATATTTTTCAAATAAGATATAAATTATATCTTCATATTTTTTATTAATATCAACTGAAAGCATATCAAATTTTAATGGCATTAATAATATTTAATAAATTAGTAAATTTTACCCTCCAATGAAAAATGGAAAAAATTGATTGCCAGATATTTGTTATTAAAAGTTTGTTTTAATAAGGTTGAATGTAATTTCAATTAATTATTAAGGAGGTATGTAAGGTCTTGGTTGAAATTAAAAAAAAAAGAGACCTAAAAGTTCGAATCCCGCTCGTGACAATAACTTTTTCATTTCCACCAAGACTTTATATCCAAAAAATAATCAATTGAAAGAAATTGAATTTGGTCACATTACTAAACATAATGGTTTTAATGTAATGTTTGTTTTTTCAGATGCGCCAAAATTTGGAGAGCCGATTGCAAACTTGTCAGTGGCAGTGGGAAGAGAAGCTATTTTTGCCTGTGTTGTAGATGACCTCGGTGCTTATAAGGTACACTAAAATATATTTAAATATGATTAATCAATAATATATTATATTAAAATATAATATTAAATAATAATAATATGATTATTTAAAGATCGTGAGATTGAGGTGTGATGTAGGTTAGAAAACATTTTCTTTTTATCGTGCCAAATATTTCGATCGTTTTTTCTTCAAGGTCTGGAATTTATAACCATTGTTTAAATTATACAAATTCGTATAAGTGATTAATATGAATTTATACAATCATATACAATTAGTTACCGGTTCATCTTCCGACTTTTGACAATCCACGCGATCTTGAAGGAGTGGAGAAGGAGGTAGTGATTAAAGATCCCACGCCAGTAACAAGACTGATGTAATTTGCCGAATCAATTGTACAAATTAACTAACATCAACGTACATCGGAATTACATCCCAACAATATAACGTGTAAAACAACATATCTATGATTTCAAAAAACCCACCATTTTGAACACAAACACCATTTCGATTTCAACAATCCAATATTAAACACGGACAAATGTAACTTTTTAGAAATGGTCTTTAAATACTACATCAACAGGGAAAAACACAGCATCAATTACAGACCAGACACGTATAAATTCAGCCGCAGCTACGATAACATCACAAATCAAATTCAATATAAATAACATATATATCATACATAAAACATATAAAACAATCATTACATTTACACATCAAACAATTCATAGTCTAAATCTCCAACAATTTATCTCGCCTTTCCCTGATAATCCCGTCTATATTAATCCTGAACGGCTAACCAGGCCCTTACGTCAAACCATTACCCCTTTTTCCATTGCCAGTTCCTTTCACCTCAAAGAAGCCGGCTCCTCATAGAAAAATGAATTTCAACCCCTAATTCCTTCCCCACTTCTTCAAAATTAAACATATAATCAAAAAACATTAAAATCTCACTCTTAACTTTCTCAAAAATCGAAAGCAATGATACGACTGCCGAGAAAACACACTTTGAGTGAATACAAATATATGATTAAAACTTATTGTGATTACAGTGTTGCGTAGATTAAAACTTGTAACTCTCTACTGTGAACATTATGGAATAAATTCATAATTATATATTATAAGAACTTATATAATTTAAAGATGTTTATAAATTCCAGGTTCTGAAGTTGATCTCAAAAGAGGTCGAAACGTTGCCACGATAAAAATTTTGATTTTCTAATCTACATCACACCAGACCCCAACACACGACGTTTAAATAATCATCAATAATCAGTAATTAACGGTCACCAAATATTACACATACTAAAAGCTGTTTTTGAACGTGATAAATATTATTTATTTAATTATTTACTGATGACAGCCGAGTTTTACTTGCGTGGGTATACATCGGACGCATTTGACCATTTTTAGGCGAATTTGTTAACAATTAAGAGAAAATGGCAATAATAGCTGACAACAAATTATATTTCCTTCGTTTTTCTCTTAAGGCTGCATCTAGTAGGTTTTCCTTCAAGAACAAGAATTCCCATCTCTTCTTAAAATCTTTGTTTTTCGAAATAGATTTCAGGGCTTCATCCTACCTTCTTCTATGTTAAACTACTTCTATCTTATACTTATTCTTACATATTAAAATTACAAAACAGTGTATGATGCCTGATTTATATAAAATCAAATCTGCAGACAAGGCAGGTCTCCACCTGGCCAGATTTCTGTCTTATCGTCAAGCCACCGAGGTTGGCCTAAACGGGCTAGCAACAGCAAGTTCATTTGAATGCTCAGCGCAATCAATTCTAAATCCAAGCCCCTTCACACTCTCACTTATTCGTAAATCAATTGATTCTTATTTACATAGCATTCACTCAGGTTGTTGGCGTACTCTATATTCCTCCATCACCATTTACACCAATTGTATAACTAACCTAATTGTACTCAGTATGCTGCTATCTCTCTTGTCACACTACACATTCGCGCTAGTAAATACATTCCCTGTTAACACATACTAGGGACTCCAATTTATCAGTATTGCATGCAATAAAACAACTCTGTTTATTCCAAGATTCGGAAAAGGGAACTCAGTTATTCCCTACCAACACAATTCTCAAAACTTTTGGCATTCCTACGCACTTTCTATATGGAGCCAAGGAATGGCGTCCTTAAAATAAGTGGGTCACATCGAGCAGTTCTTCTCTAAGTGCCAGTCACATACTTGGCCTTTTGCCCAAACGAAAGTGTCCGTTCTTCTACGAGTCACACCCTCCAAGGGCCACCTTTCGACAACGCTTTTCATTGAGAGCTGCTCTGCCGATCTGGCCATCTATACTGCTATTTTGTTTTAATGAAAGCTTCTACTGCATTATTAGCGTCAGATAGCTGGATCGCGATGGACAGGTTCTGAGTTTGGGCCTGGTAAAAACAATACTTTAAAGTTTTGATGTAGAGAATAAATTCCTTAAAACGTTTTCTTTAGGTTTAATATAGAATTCAAATATTGATAACTAATATTAATTATAGGGCCGACGACGGAATATGAAGTACCTCATTGGACCTTTTCTACTACAGATTCACGCTTATAAAGACATTCTCACTAAACAGTAAATCCAAAATACATTTATCACGAAGCCTATTGTATAAAAAAAATTAACTACAATAAAAAAGCTATATGTAATAACTTCCCTGTTACTTTCAAAAAATCATACCCAAAGATTCTTAGAAGCAAATTTTTTGAACCACTTTTGGGTAGTGCACGCACTTATTGTTTCACCAATAAACGCTGTGTCCTCCCGGGCATGACGGTAAACTGCGTCCACATACATAACACACCCATACACATACACTGACACAAGTACTTTTACATTATATACAATGTAGGGCTACGTCCCTAGGACGGTTCTTGAGACGGACTCAAAGTCTCACGTCCTGGACTTGTACGACGTACCTACGCGACCCAGTACGGATATAACTCCGCCACACCTAACACTTGGTGGAGTGAGGGCGTGAGACTTGGACGATGTTCGGTCTTCCGTCAGCATGCCACGACCAACACACAAACCGATGCACGCGGCCAAGGGCGTCGGAACCCGAAGATAACAAATGCAAATCACCGTGCACACTACACCACACCAACAACACACATGTGTATACACCCATCTGTAGGTAGCGGTCTCCCGGTCTGCTTGAGTGTACATGAGTCCTGTACCTGTGAGTGTACAGGAGGAAAACTGGGTTACGGCACTCCCGGGCCGCGAGGTAGTACAGGGACCCGAACCCCGGAATAGCCAACGGGGAGGCAGTCCTATCACCTCGTGTATAATGGCGTGATGCTTAGTACTACCAGCTGGCGACTTGATGGTTACCGTGCTGGGCATCGCGGCGAGCCCTCTCGAGGCCACACAGTTTGTGTTGCGCGTGGGGTATCGCTCGAGCAGGCCGGGGACCGACACCAAAGGCAGAGAACTGTACACACATGTCACAATACATCCTTACACAGATAAAACACAATAGATGATGAAAATAAAAAAGAAAGAAAATAATCTAGGAGTAAAAGTGCCTACTCCGCCTAACCCGGGCCCGACCAGCCCGACAGGACCCCCTCCTAACCCAACACCGCCACCTCTCCCAACTCTTTTCTCAATCCCGCCGAAGGATTTGCTTTCCTCTACTTCCGAGACCCACGTCCCTCCTTCCCCTGCAAACCCTTCAACCCCCTCTCCACAACCATCCACTCCTTCTCAAACGTTGGAGGATGATGGCTTCGTTCCTGCTGCTGGTAAAAGAAAAAGAATTCCCAACAACTCGCCAAAGAGTGCAACGAGGACAGAGAATGTACCTGTGTCTCCTTTGTCACCTGCACAAAAAAAGAGAAAAGAAGTAATACAAGAGAAGAAGGAAAAGAAAGAAAAGAAAAAGAAATCGCGAAGTGTTGCCTCGTCGCTGAGTCTCGGGATCATGGGAATTACTCCTCTCGCTGAGGCCTACCAGACGAGATACTATAATGTAGCAAGGAAAGAGGGAGATTTTAAATCCACATGCCCTTTCCTTCTACACAGGGAAATAAAGAAGATAGAAAAAACAAACTCTATCACAAAAAGTAGAGATGGGAAAATATGCATAGGAGTGACTGGGAAAGAGATCGAGGCAAAACTGATGTCATTAAAGGCGCTTGCTGGACATGAGGTCGATTACCCCTCATCAAAAGTTGAAGACCTCCAGAGGGGTAGTAGTATGCCGTGACCTCATGAATAGCAGTGTCGATGTCATCAAAGAAGACTTAGGGGACCAGGGTGTGTTGGAAGTAAGGAAGATGAACACTCGCCGGAACGGACAAATTGTCCCTTCGGCGAGTCTAATCCTCACCTTCGACGCCCCGCGATGCCCAGACCAAATAAGAGCGGCGTTTTACAAATTGAAAGTCCGCCCTTATATCCCACCTCCGCAAAGGTGCTAGCGTTGCCAGAAATTTGGTCATACCTCCCTGCGATGTAAATCCCCGCAGGAAGTGTGTGAGTGTTGGAGGGAAGCACACCCAAAAGAATCTAGGTGCTCAGACCCTCCCACTGCGTAAACTGCAGGGGATGCCATACGGCTCGATCCGCCAGCTGCCCTGTCCTCTCGAAAGAACGAGAGATACAGAAACTAAAAACAATAGATAAAATGAACTTTCGTGTGGTCAAGGCAGTGGTCGAAAGTAGGAGCACTGCAGGGACATACGCCCAAGCAGCAGTTCGTCCCGCTCCTGGGCCGACCGTCCTGGAGCAAACCCGGGCGGCTGATCCTCAGAGAGGAGAAGTCGCCAAAGCCCTCCCGTTGATGGCGGGGGCAAAAGAAAGTGTGGCCCTTGCCACCCTTCCGTAGAAAAGGGTGGTAACATCCTCTTCCCAAACGTCCCCGGCACGGGAAGTCGAGACTGCCCATGGGAGGCAGTCTGACAAGCTGTTGGGTGATTTTAACTCACACAACATATGGTGGGGGTCGATGCGAACAGACGTTAGGGGCAGAGAGATGGGGGACCTAATAGGCGAGTCCGACCTGGTCCCCCTAAACACCGGCTCTGCTACACATATTGATTTTAGTATAGGCCGATTTAGCGCGATCGACCTGTCGTTAGCCTCACCATCACTGGCCACCCGGGTAGAATGGGCTCCATTGGGGGGACCACCACCTGAGTGACCACTTACCGATATTGTTGAGGAGTTCCGTCTCGAGATGAGTATATCACACTCCTACGAAGTGGAGCCTGAAGCGTGCGGATTGTGAACTCTTCTCTGCGACGGTATCGGCACCTCAATTAACAGGGGATGTCGACGCTGATCTCCTCTTTGAGCGGGAGATCAACCGCGCTGGAAGCAGATCCATTCTCAGGAGCGATGCCTGCTGCCGTGCACACGCGCAGAAGAAGCGAACATTCCGGCGCTTCAGAAGATATCCGACGGAGGAGAACCTTGCAAATTTTAAAGTAAAAAGAGCTAGAGAGAGGCGTACCTTGTCCCAACCCAAAAAGGAGAGCCTGGCGAGGTATGTCTCTGAAATGACTTGCCAGACCTCCGCCAAGGAAGTATGGGACAAGGTCAGAGCACTCTCTGGCCGATCCAAACCTCCGTCGGTACCGATATTGACCACCGATCGCGGGAGTGTGACGGAAGCTTCGGAGGTTCCCGAAGAACTGGCGCGGCATTTCGCCGCGGTGTCTAGTTCCGATTCAAATTCCGATACCTTCCGACAAAGGAAAACAGAGACGGAACGCACTGAGATCGATTTCGGCGGCGGCCCCAAAGAAGCGTACAATGTGCCTCTGACGATGGGAGAGTTCGCGTCCGCGTTGGGGCGCGCCCGGAATTCAAGCCCCGGGTGTGATTGTATCCCATATGAGATGCTTCGCCACCTACGCCAGGCTGCGGAGCGGCGCGTGTTGGACTTGTTCAACAACATATGGTATTCGGGCTCTTACCCCGATCATTAGCGAGAAGCGCTTATCATACCTATCTTTAAAGAGGGTAACAACCCAAGCCTGGCTACGAGTTCCAGACCGATTTCGTTTACAACCTTCTTGAGCCAGGTCCTGGAGTCTATGGTGAAAGGTCGTCTGACCTGGCACTTGGAGACAAAGGGAGTTTACAGCCAGTATCAGGCGGGGTTAGGGGTCGATGGCGGACTATTTATAAAAGTACTCCATCGACCCCAATCTAGAATAGTGTGAGTATAGGTCGGTGGAGGAATATCAAGTACACGAAACGGAATGAGTGTATTGTATGAATGTATTTATTTGTTTGAATGTAGTGTTTGAAAGTGTAAACAGAATAATATTGACTTAGTTTAAGGTACTTAGAGCTGCCTCAACTGCCCTAGAACCGAGCTGAAATTTCTACAACCAGAACGCACGTTTTATGAGATTTAAAAAATAATAATTTAGAGTGAACTGTTCAAAAACACGTTTTCTTTATAAAATGGTATTATGTGATGTAAACACCGAATCCGTCTGTTCGGGCTGGTCTTGATGAAAATAAAACTCAAATAAAATAAAACAAATAAACGGAGGCTTGACGAGTAAAATAAAATAAAATAAAATAAAATAAAACAAAATAAAACGGAGGCTTGACGAGCGAAACAAAATAAAAATAAATAGAATAAAATAAAGAAAATTTACCTGGGAGTGGACTGTATGAAATATACCTTCTGGTGCGTCGTTGGAATCACCTTCGGCGTCACCGAGCTCGGATTCAGCGTCGGAGAAACCTGTTGAAACTACCAGAAAGTGCGGAGGCGAAGCGAAGAAAAAATAAAACATAAATGAGAATACTCCTGCTGTATGCGAGGGTAGAAAAAGAGAAAACGAGGGTTAACTTTGAGGGGAATCAAAACTGAGGTTAAACGAATTGAAAAGGTCCGACCAAGCGTGTTCGGCGGTTTGTAACGTACTACACGCGTGACGTCGACACGCCAGACTCGTCGCACCTTTAATCCCCTTCGGGTTTGATGACGAGGTGCGACACAACAAAGTTGGATAATGAAAATTTAAATACCCTTTTTTTTAAGAAAGAAGAAAATAAAATGTGCCCGGTGCGAACACCGTCTATGTAAATGTTCATATTAATTAACGGTAGTAAAACAAATAAAAAATCGCACGAACTATTCTGGTTACATGGTATTTTGATTCATACATAGTTTTATTGTTTGTAATTTTGGTTATTGTTGGTATATTGAACATGAAAATATAGCAAAATTAGATTTGACTTTTTGTCATGAATTTAAGGCTATTTTATCTCCTGAACTAATTGTTAATAAAATTAAATCGGGCCATTATTAAAACAGATTTATCAACTAAGTTGTACAATTTAATACTATGTTTCCCATTTAGATAAGAATGGTTGCGTTATTGTTGCCAGGAAGGCAATATCTTAAAAGCAAATTAAACGAAATTACCGCTAACTATTGTCATTATCTAGAACAAAAGTTTTCGTTAACTATTTTGTGAAGGTCATTAATTATTTAAGAAATTACGAGGCATATATTGTCCAAGGGGAACTTGCTGCAACTCGGAAGGGGATGTTCCGCTTAAATTTCCCCAAGGTTGTTGGTCTATCTGTTTAGAGGTAATGTTAGTCCTGTTTTTACTTGTTGATCGTAATTTCCTTTGGAGCACAGCGTTCCTGTTATTTCCTTTAAATTGAGAATAGGGTTATCTGGTAATTATGCGCAATCTCCTTTTAATTCGTCCTTATTGCTTATCTTTAGAAACCAAGAAGAACAATAAAACAACACAAAACCGATTTGATCTCTGGCTTAAATTTCAATTAAACTGAATCGTGTGGATCGAACGTTTTATAATAACGCCGCACCATGATATCTGGTCGTCCCACAGGATAATGAACAAATCAATGCCCTAGAGATCAATGATGACTTCACGCTTTGCCCGCTTAATAAAACATTGGTCAATTCAGGACTTCGAGCGTTGGCTATGCAAATTATCGGTGTGTATTGTTGATAGGTTTGTCCGTTTTAGCCAAAATTTACAATCAAAATTCCCTCTGGTCACAAAAGCAGCAGACGATTCACAGGGATTCACGATAAATATACCAACGGAAAGTCATTGTTGAGTATAATGTGTGTAAACGTTTTGTTGAATTATTTTTCATTCACAACCATTAGTTTAAAAAGTTCTGCTCATAAAAAACATAATAATTGTCTACTGTTAAGCAAAAATGTAACATTTTTTAAATAAGTATAAAGTTTTGTCCAAAGTTAAGCAATAAAAATCGACTTCAGTTTGTCCAGCAGCCAAGAGAAAAATATCAGAAATCTTTATTTGGGGGAGGATGATAAATAATAACACATTTAATATTTCTGAGTCATTGTGCGGAAATGCATGCCATGATTTTGTGGTGGCTTCTGTTTTGTAGTGCCCTTCTGTGTTTCCAAATGAAGTTTTTCTTCTATCGTTGACAGAATTAATGCTATGAGGAAACAGGCTTATCAATTTATTTTATGCGATGTGTTTTTTTTATATACGTGAATAACCGCTTGCCATTTTCCGTCAACTACGTGATATTTCATGCACATTTGGGTTACTCCGACTTCAACAGTCCAAGATAACACAATATTATACCAACATATGACTACTGCAAATGTCAGCTATGTATAGTAGAGATCATGACATCAGAGCATAATTCTACGCACCTGCCCTGCCATTGCTAGAGCAAGTCCTTGTTTCCTAGGAAAACCGTTTTTCAGCTATGTGAACATCGATACCATACCTGTAAAAATATTAATTTCATTTGCCAGAATTATAACAAAATGCTAACAGTGATATCCTCTCTCTCTCTCTCTCTCTCTCTCTCTCTCTCTCTCTCTCTCTCTCTCTCTCTATCNAAAAAAAAAAAAAAAAAAAAAAAAAAAAAAAAAAAAAAAAAAAATTAAGTACTTCCCACCACACTCCTAGTGCTAAATTTAATATTTTTGATGATTGTATTTTGATTTATCTTTATTTTCCGATGCATTTTGTATCATTTGCTTCTTTATAGTACTTCTACATGCTATAATCCAATAAGCACGGTCTTTATTTTTGAAATATACTTTATTTTTAATAATTAAATTTAAAAATATAATGTAATCCCTGTCACTACCAGTTGAGCGTCGCGGATGAGAGGTCAATCCACTATAATCCATGGCCTACGCCGAGATTTGAACCCATGACCACTTGCGTGGCAAATACGAGATGGACGCCTTAACCACTCGGC